TGGTTAATAGTGGTTAATAGTGGGTAAGAGTGGTTAATAGTGGTTAGTTAGTGTTAGTAGTGGTTAATAGTGGTTAATAGTGGTTAAATGGTTAATAGTGGTTAAAGTGGTTAATAGTGTTATAGTGGTTAATAGTGGTTATAGTGGTTAATAGTGGTTAATAGTGGTTAATAGTGGTTAGTAGTGGTTAATAGTGGTTAGTAGTGGTTAATAGTGGTTAATAGTGGTTAATAGTGGTTAATAGTGGTTAATAGTGGTTAATAGTGGTTAATAGTGGTTAGTAGTGGTTAATAGTGGTTAATAGTGGTTGATAGTGGTTAATAGTGGTTAGTAGTGGTTAATAGTGGTTAATAGTGGTTAATAGTGGTTAATAGTGGTTAATAGTGGTTAATAGTCAATAGTGGTTAATGAAATATCTGGTTGGTGGTGACTGGAACATGAATGGATTATGACTTTCCATTCAGGTGGGAATTTCATCATCCCAACTGACGAGTTGTCATGTTTTTTTTCAGAGGGGTAGGTTGAAACCACCAACCAGTAAACCATTGGCAAATCTAGAATCTAGCAGGTTCCGATGGAAGCCATGGTCCATGTGTAGATTATCATAGCTATGGACGACATGGTTCATTTAGTTTGATGATGTACCATTGTATAGAAATGGTGATGTTCGATAGTTATGTGAATGTGCCAAAAAATGCCAGAGTGTAAACCTTCATTATGTTCATTGGGTGAATGGGTGCTTCTTCTTTCTAAACCAGTCATTGGAGAATACAGCAAAGCAGCAGAGAACAAACTTTGTTTGCAGAATAGAAACTGAACATTTAAGATTGGACATAGCTTGATTTGCTTGATGAAACACATTTGAAGGATATTTACTTGGATATCTAGGGTTGGACCTCTTTTTAGTCTTCAAACTTGGCTGTTCAACTGTCAACTTACTTTCAATCCTCACCTGTTTTGTTCGCCACCATTCGTTCCACTATTGAATGCTACTGGAAATTGTCAAGTGGTTGGAATGGGCTAAAACCACGAACCAGACCTGCAGTGTAGTTCGTGGGACACCTGGCCTGGGCGTCCAGGCTGCGACAATGCGGAGCTTCCCGAAGCATCCTACTGCCTGGGAATGGGCACGGAGAACGGCGTCCGCGTCTTGAAGAACAGGCGCCGGTGGATTTCTGAACTTGAAGGTGCACTTCGAAGATGGCCATTTTTACACGAATATCATGGAATGTCATCTAAACCTTCTAAACCTATCATTTGTTTCATTTGCTTGAAGGTTCATGAGATATTTTCAGCTAATTACATAGATGGTGGAGAGCTGCAACTTTAGAAACGTTGGACACCTCGGATTTTCATGAAAACCAAAGTGAGGTAGCTTCCATGCCAAACATGCGATTTCAATATTCATGAGATTTCATGAGTATAAGCAGGGATACAGTTACGGCCATTTATCAATTATATAGCCAGTTATAACTGGTTGTAAATGGGATTATACATTCTATAGATGGGGTTATAAGTACTTATAACTGGTAAAGGGCCATAACTGTAGGAAATCACACGAACGGATTATGAACGGGCACCTGATATCACCTGATCAACTCAACTGTGATATTGACCAACAGCAATGCTTTGCTTTTGGTGTGACGTCGATGAGATATTGAGAAGTCATCGAGTTGATTTGAATTATCTTAAACCAGTTTCTAAGTTTCTCGCAAAACATCCAGATGCCAAAGGGATTTCTACAGTTATGGCCATTTGTTAGTGATAACTGGTTATAAAGATGTTATAAATGGGATTATACATTCTATAAATCTGGGTAAATTATAACGACTTCACTGCGACCTCACTGGAATCATGGTTAGTAAGGGGAATCATCCCCAAATGGCCTTAATTCAGGTTAGTGAAATATTATAATTTACCCAGATAAATTGGATTTTGTTAGTACTTATAACTGGTATTTCGGGCCATAACTGTGGTCAACGGTCAACGGTGGTTGCAAGCCGCTTGCTCAGGGAGGGCCATGGCGTCGGCACTGGCTCTTGCTGCGATAGCACCACCAACAAGGTGCCGAACCAACTTGGACTGGAGCCGAGATGGCTTTGTTAAGGGCAGATGGGGTGGTCAAACGTTACGTTTAGGCGCAAAGAGATGAAGGTGGATAAGTAACGTTGCGTTTTGGGGGTATATGAAGAGAAATCATGAGATATAATTGAATGTAATGAGAAATGATTGGAGGATATAGTGAGATCAAACCCCGGAGGAGTTGTACCCCTATTGCAATTGGAATTGGGAGACAGCTAGGGATTTTCCCCTTCGTAGAGAAACTCCAAATGGTCCCCAGAGCCAAGGGACTAAGGGAAGGATGGAATGCAGATTGAAGCTGGGATCTACTAGTGTATCATAATTTTCCCCTTAAAATTGCAAGAAATTGGAGGTCCATCCAGTTTTTGGACAAACCTGGATCCATCGTTCAATTGTCCAAGTGTGATTAAATCATATTAAATTCTTATCTGGTTGGTGGTTTCAAACATTTTTTATGTTCCATAATATATGGCATAATCCTTCCCATTGACTTTCATATGTTTCAAGATGGTTAAAACCACCAACCAGTCATGTTCAAATGCCGCGAATGCCGCGCAGGTCATCGGTGAGAAGCGAATCTCCTGTGATGGCTACCTGGACCGGGGGGAAATGGAATTCCTCAAGTTTTTTACATGGTGGAAGACATTACACAGGATGCGAAACGGGTTATAAGTATATATAATATATGTACATATATATATATATCAGTGTATATGTATGTATAGTATATATATATGTTTATATACTGATGATTTCCAGGTTTCCAACGTTTTCTCAATTTGTAGTTATGCCGTACATGCACCAGATGGTATATCATGGTATGATTTACTGGTGTGTGCCCTTTATGGTGAAATTACTTGAACGATCTGGAAGCAGAAGCCTATTGTAGATACTTTTCCAGCTCCAATTCAAGAAGGCTAGCAAGGAGCCTTCATGCTGCGGAGGTCCCTGCCGGACGGGACCTTCTGATGACGGGACCTTACCATAAGCGAAGAACCCAAAGGTCCTGAGACAACACAAGGGCTTGAGGGAGACAAAGGTGTTAGAACTGGCTTACAGGGGAGAGATAGTGGAGCAGTTTTTGAAACCAGGGTGCAATTCTCAGCCTACTTACTCCAAAATGAACATATATATATATATATCAGTATAAAATTCTTTAGCCGAGCAAATTCGACTGGTAGATAACCGGAGTGATTTCAGTCTATTTCTATAGATGTGCATCCCAAACAGTAAGTGGTCTGTTTTAACCTAATATAGAACAGTATATAACTCACTAGGCAATATATTAGTAACCAGATACTATAACCACTAGGCACTTTGGAGATCATCTCCAGCGGGATGTAGCCTCCAGTTTCTATTGAAATACCCCAGCACTGAAACATGGCTAGCTTGGAAATTTGGAATTTCCCTAGAAATGTCGAGGCTTATTTGATGGTTTATAGGTTTAGTTCGCTGAAAAGCAGAATGGTTGATTTCCAGAAAACCAGATTATAATGGTTTATAGGCCTATAAACCTATAAACCATTATAAACCAATGGTTGATTTCCCAGAAAACCATGATGATACCCTTTAGGCCATCCCTCAGCAAACATGTGAACGGTCTGCAGGACGAGTACACGAAGCACAGCAAGAAGTACCTGACCTCCACGTGACTTTGCGGAGTAGACAATCTGCATAAAGATCCAAACATATCTAAGAAGAACAGGTTCATAAGAATCAACATGTGTTGATGTATATATATGTATATGATTATATATGAATACTCATCTATAATTTCTGTTAATATTAATCCATAATTCTATAAGCTAAAACGGACTTGGGTTGATTAAGGCACCATTTATGAATTGATTGCATATGTATATGTATATATATATATATATACATAATTACTGCAAGCTATAACACAAGTGGCTTCATGTGAGGGTACGTGAGAAGGGTCAGTTGGAGACATCCGGAGACCATGAGTGCCTGACTTCCCATGTTTCCGGATGTTTCCGGCTTCTCATTGTCGCAACACTTCCCTCAAGAAAACATAGTATCATTACTGTTATATATCAGTATCATCATCATCATAATAATAATCATCATCATCGTTAGCATCATCATCATCATCATCATCATCATCGTTATCATTATCATCACTATTATTGTCATCATAATTATCATATATTATCATCAATATGGTCATCATTGTTATCAGCTTTATCATCATCGTTGTTGTAATCGTTATTATCGTCATCGTCATCATCATCATCATCATCATCAACATTGTTATCATGATTTAACCCAAGACCATGAAGTGAACCAACCAACCTAATCTCCGTCTTAGATTCTTACCATGTTTGATGCTGAACAAAGCGAACATCTCCATGTTGAATTCCTGTTGTTCATGGATATACTAGTAGCATCTAGTAGCATGATATATACAATATTGTAATGTATAACCATGAAACCAAATAATTCAACTGTAGTTTGTGGACTCTATCCCCATGTTTTTTTCGTGGGAAAAAAACACGTCGTTTTCACCCCCTTTACTGGGCACAGGAAGCTGTTGCGTGGCACCACCTACACCACAATGGCAGAAGCACGTGAGGCATGTCTCAGGCGGGGAGGGAACCCGATGGTGTCGCACTTTGGAGCTATGGCAGGGTTACCGTGTCGTACGGTGGTTCCCAAGGGCCCCCCGTCTGAACAATAGCGAAGTTGGTTCACGATCGGCGAACAGATGGATGGTTTGTGGTGGATTAATATATGTTTATGATTGTTTATGGATATCTGATTATGGTGGTTTGAAAATGTGAAAGGAACATGAACGGATTATGACTTTCCATTCAGTTGGGAATAATACTCCCAACTGACTCATATTTTTAAGAGGGGTTGAAACCACCAACCATACATATATATATATACAACTAATTCGAACTAGTTAAAGATAAGTGGGAAGCCTTTCTTGTAGCAGTGTAGTTGCTGAAACCCAGCCACGCTGTTTGGCCGAGAAATGAATTATATAGAAGGGACCTGCAAACATGGATTCAAGCAGAAGACACAATGATAGCATCAGAAAAAAAAAACAAAAAAACAGAATTTCATCAATAAACATGGAGGGGAAACATGGGCGATGAAATGACAATTGGTGAGGAATATCATCCCCCAAAACATGTATCTTTTCTTCGAATTTCGGAAGTATGGCGTCATTTGTTTGATTGCATTCTGCTATAAAGATCTGTAACTAATGGCTCAAGCAATGGTGGGCATGAAACTTGCAGAAGTCTTGGGGGGTCCCAGGCTACCATGTGGATCATACTGAGACTATCGGGGAGCTCCTTCATGCTCCCCTTGCGGTCACGTGTGCCGTCAGGAAAGGTACTAAGTGCTGGGGCATCTACGATGACAAGTGTCGGGATCTCAGGGTATAAGATGGCTGGTGATGGCTTGATTAATATGAATCGTGTTTGACATTTTTTGGGGATGTACTAGCCACTGAATATATTAGAAATCGGAATTGGTTGAAAGATGTTGAAAGGAACATTTACCGGCTAAGATCCATCATGTCCATCAAATTCCTATTTTTAATGTTGTGGAGAGGCAACGCTTTTATCAAGAACATGGCAAGAACATGGGAATGTTGCGAAATGGGAATGTATGAACAAAGATATGGGGTTCAATACCTATGAAACTGTTGATAGTGTGATGCCAGCTTGGAGCTTCTAGCGGGGCTGAAGTGAATCAACAGCACTTCATTCATATTATTCATTTGGATCTGAGTTTTCTCCTAGAAAATGAGGGACCACGTGAGTTCTCATCCAAGTGATTGATCGACAATCCGGGAATCTCCGGGAATCTCTGGGAGATGTGTAGCATATCTTAGCTTGATAGTAGACTAAAAGGCAGATCCTGCTTGACTGATCTGACTGTTTTCCGTACGTTTTCCCGAAATCCTTTGAAGCTTCAAAAACTCTCTGAAACGAAGTAGCTGGACTTTGCCGATTTGGCCTTCCTTGAAAATTTTTGTTTTTTTGGTCTCCCGGTGGAGTCAAACTGAGCCAAGGCGACTCGGTGAAGTTTCTGCTGGTCGACTCTCAGTTCAACATCACCTCTGAGAAGATGATGGAGTATCCTGGAGAGAAAATCGTCCGGAAAATCCTCAGAATATTGATAGAATTGTCTATACCTGGAACCCGTAAGTGGTGCATAATTTCAGTATACTTTGAGCTAGTGACTGTTTTCCAAGTAATTATCTATAAATATTGTTCTAATTCTCCCAGAATATTAGTATGTATACCAATTGATGGATTTTTTGATGGATATGTTGATGGATATTGGTATGCAACATACTAATCATCTATGGATATTTATTGGGAAAATTTGGATAATGATATTGGTACATACATCATTTATAAATATTGATGGATTTGTTGATGGATATTGGTATACATATATATATATATATATTAATCATCTATAGACATTGTCATAGGCCAAAAAAGGGTGATATTGGGAATTGATAAGCTTTGTTTTTGCAACTTGACAACTTTATTCAGCTACGTAGGGGTGATATTGCACTGCCAGGTCTGACTATTGGAGGGTACCATTTCAGAACCATGTATATAAATGGCTGGCACCCGTGGTTGAGCTCATATGCCTTTCATTTCACTTGTATCTCGTTCTGGCTGGACAATTTTGGGCTTTGATAGTTCATGCACTTGAATCATTTTGAGCCAAATGGCTTTACATACAGTATCATACAGTATTTTCAAAGTTAACGGTTTTTGAAACGGGGTCTGATGGTTTAGTTTGATCGTAGGTTTCTGTTCTTGGTTGGTTGAAACTATTTCTTGCATTCAGATAATTACTGCATGGCTGAGTCTCAAGCTACTTCGCAAATATATAGTCGCAGCTGAAGTCTGATCTTCATAATAATTGGTCTTGCCGGTCTTGCAATCAAAGACCAGCTCAGACCTATGTGTTGAGGGCCCAACAAACATTGGATGATCATTATGTACAAAACCCATGTTCATGAGTTACACACCAATTTCAACTTCTGTTGATTGTCAGTATTTGGCGATGAACATGATTGAACACATGGTTCTCAAGAAACCAACAACCCAGTTCAACTTGATCATTGTTTTGTTTGCCTTGTAGATACAGTACTAATTTATACTAATTTGTACAAAGTAGAAATAGGAGCACAAGCTCACAAGTTGCATTCGAAGCAAGCCTGGTATTGCAGATGTTGCACTTGTTAGTTAGCCTATTTGTTGTTACCATTGACTCAAGCAGCAGCTCCATTTAAGCCTACGTAACCCATATCAGGATGATTTGCCATGAAAGTTCATCAACATTTGTTCATTTCATACACGTTTGAAAATTGCATGCCACTTAAACTGAACCAACGATAATATGTACAACAACTGTTTTTTTGGTTTGTTTTCCAACCATGGATCTTTTGCTAATCCTCATATGGTGGTTTCCTAAGTCATGGGGGCACCCCTAGTTATCCATTTAGATAGGATTTTCCGTGAAATAAACCATCCAGCGAGCTTGGGGTATCCCCTGGTAAACGTCTACATAACGAACTGGAAAGATCCACCATTTTATAGCTGGGTAATTCAACTATTTCGACTGGGCCATGGCTTGGATATGCTTGATGGACATTTTGTTTTCGGGTATCCCCATTTATGGAAATCCCATTATTAGCCATATATTAACCATATATTAACCATATAATAACCATATAACAACCATATCTTGAATCTGCTTGGATCTGGCCATGGCTACCCGACACTGACTGAGGTCGGTGCAAGGCTCGTGCGTCTACGAGAAGAAGGCGGTCTAACTGCATGGCGCGCTGAACGGCGGTCTTCGGCGAACGGCCGGGGCCCGGGATGGCGGCAGTTTTCCCTTGAGAAATAGTGGCGAAACACATGGTAAGACACCAGAGTTTACCTTGAAAAATGCTGGGTTTACCAGGTTTGACCATGTTTTGTTCTGGTGTTAACCAGGGTTTATTAGCATAAAAAATGGTGATATGAAGGCTTCGGCTAAGGGCAGATCTGTACCAGCCAATCAGCCATGAAACCTGTGGAGGAACAGCTACTCTCATGCGAGCAACATGTCCATGTCTCCTCTGGTATTTCTCGTTTCTGTTTTTCACACTGTACAGGCTAAGATGCTGCCGGAATGAAGGGATAAGCCTGTTTCAAGTCATCACTTTCATACGCTGTGGAGCTCTTGTGAGGTTCAATCCCTGAAGTTTTTTCTTTAACTGGTTGGTGATTCGTAACATGTTTTATTTTCCATTTCAAATATGGGATAATCCTTCCCATTGACTCATATTTTTCAGGGGGGTTGAAACCACCAACCAGTTTACCCTCTGGTAAACTAACATAGCTATGGAAAATCACCATTTTGAATGGGTAAATCCACTATAAATGGCCATTTTCAATAGCTATGTTAAATTACCAGATGGTAAAGTTTCGACAGCAGATCTGATTTCGGATCATCTGAATTTGAGGTGCTTCGACACAACGAATCTTCTCAAAAGGCAAGTAGTCACCACCAACCATGCATACAGGCTTGAATGGAGTTTAATTACAATGTGTAATATTTAATAATAAATAAATAATAATGACAATAATAATATATATATATATGTATTGTATGTATATATATATATACTATTATATATATATATATAATGTCAAGTCAGGATTAATCAACATCCCGTTATTAATCAACCTCCTGCTCCCATTTTTTTGCAATTTAAAAACAAGTGGTCCCCCAGGATTAATAAACCGTTTGGCTAGGACATGATCAATCAACCCCCTGTGCTGAAATCCATTTTGTTTATCCAAAATTCTTTATAAAAATCATTACCCTGGACAGGACACCAAACCCTGCATGATGGTTTCCCCACTCGTCTTTCCCCATAGGAATCTGAAGAATACAAGTCAACTTCTTCCAATAACCATGAGCCCATGCCCCCCAGAATGAGCCAAATGGCTGCAGACGATCATCACATGCACGCATGCACACACGCCTTCCATCTGATGGGATTCATGAGGTTTTAAGACTGAAATCTTATCAAATCCAATGGAATCTTATGGGTTCCATGAGATTTTACAATTCAAATCTTATCAAATCTCATCATATCTAAAATGTTATGGCTCAATGGTTCAGAAGGTGCTCATTATTAAGGGGTAAAACAGGAAAGACCTTGCAAGGTCTACCCTGACCTATAGGGGGGGTTAGTAATCCGGTGTTGGCATTATATTAAATTATACATTATGAATCTATATATATATATTGTTATTTGATATGACTATATATATATATTATAATACATATTATAATATATATATATAATATTATATTAATATATAATATCACTATAATATAATATATAATATATAATATATAATTTATAATATATAATATATAATATAATATATATATATAATATATATATATAATATATAATATAAAATAATATATATATAATAGTTAGAAGTCATACATATATATATATACATATTGTCAAGAAAACCCCAGGTTTGAACCATGTTTTCTCAGCTTTTTTGTTGCCGCCAATTCCAAGTCCACCAGACAGGTCAAAGGAAGCAAACGCTGCAGCAAACGAAGCAAAATCTCGTGGGCCCTGGGTGCGGTTGCGCCAATAAAACGCGGTCCCAATGGCGAAGAGATCAGAGGTCCCAATTGGAAATTCCGTTTCTTAGGGTTGTTTGTTTCGAATATGGGTATGGGTCAAAATTAGGTACCCCAACAATTGGATGGTTAATACTAAACTAGACTAATATCTGTGGTCCCCTAGGTCTTCCATTTTGACCCACATCCATATGTGTGAACAACTAACTAATATTTATTCTTTCACATGAAATAAGTCAGCATCAGACCGACCATTGTAGTTGACATCCCCTTCACCGCCATTTCTGTAAGCTGCAATATGAAAGGCACATAGAGCAGTGGATTCCTGTCAACCCTGGATTCATAAACCCCCAAACGCCTCTTTAATTGGGGTGCCATTTAAGTATCAGATCATTACTGTGGAGGACCCCCCTAATAGACCATTGTTTATTCATCCGGGTTTGACAGTATCCATTGAACAATTCCAATTTTGACACCTTCGAACTGGTCCAGATGTCTAGAGAATACCGGTGTTGAAACGGCTGCAACTGCGGAAATAACTGGGGAATTCACGGTGTCGTCCTGCGAGCTGCCAAATGAAATCTCTTAGATCACCGTAAATTCTACCGTGAAGCATTGCTTGGCGCGTGGAAGTTTTGCTTTACAGTATTGTTCCGAATGCCATTTTAACCAACTATTGAAATCCTTTGCAGGCTAGGATTTGTTCATATTGTTTGTTTGGTTTTTACTCCTATATAGTGTAGATGATAAAATGTCAAATTCCTATATTGCACTTGTCCATATGATATGTGTGCATGCTGTGTATAATGTACATTCCAGCCATTGCGTGGTCTCTTCCTCATTCTCTTTTGGAGACGTACCCTATCATTCCATCCATGTCATGTTTTTTGTACCGCATATGCCATACATACACATGAACATGTGTAGTGTATGAATGAACACAGACCAAATTGTATGAACGTAACAAGCCGCAACTAGTGAAAAACAATGCTTAAAGACACTGCATGACACTGGACCCAGTCGCAGTTCATGGCAGCTCTGCAGTGGCATGGTTCGATTCGCTGCGATTTTCGCGCTTTTGTCGCGAAGACAAAAAGGTGGGTGCGGCTGACCGCCTGTGCATATGAAATCTTAATGAAATCCTAAATCGGTTCGAAAGGGATTGGATTTGCAGGGTATAATTGATGATTTCTGACAGCTAATCATACTGAGCTCCAGCCATTCATTTCTGGGCTGGGAACTCCCCAGGCTTTCCGAAGTGGATGACCGTCATGGCATGTCATGGCGGTTTTCATGATCCCGGCACATCCCGACTGTATGATATCAATGGCCAAGCCAGGAACCGATTGAGGACGGAGGTACCGATTCCATATAAGGTCGATTTTTCAGGCCTAAATTTCAGGGAATATCCCCCCAAAATATGGCCAGAAATATGGTACGTTTACGTACCTCCATCTGTTGGATCCTGAAGATCTCCCATTGATGATATGTTCATGATATTTTCATGGCAGGATTTCCAGCCCCAAAAAGTGGGCGATTTTCCACTTCCAACTGGCTCGAAAGTCAAGACATCAATGGAATTGTTCAAGTCCTGGATCTCACCTTCGGGGCATGATGGGACCAACCAAGGTTCTGCCGAAGAACCCCATTTTTCGTTTCAATGGGTTATTAACTCTAACATAGACTATGTTTCCATTGTGTTTCTAATATAGATTTTATGAAACAGGGTCTAGGTTATATATAGACTACACTACAGTGAATTAACATAGACCCTGCCAGTTGTCGGGGACGATGAGTTTCCACTCAAAATGGTTGATTTTCAGGGTCCATGGAAAAAAATACCAGAGGGTAAGTTATGACCACGTACTTACCGATTTTTGGTGAAACACATGTTAATTAATTGATGTCCAGGTTTTATACTAGTTCTACCCACATTTGGTACATCATAGTTAAGTTAATATATATATATATATAAAATATCCCTATGGATCCAAGTACCTTCTTAGGAAGTATGACTGTGGTATGATGATGACTAGGGGGGTTCTTGTACCTTCTCAGACAGTGGCCATGGATCCATAGGGTAATATATTTATATATATAATATAATTTACCATATTATATTTTATATATTATAGATTATATTTTATATTATATATTATATTTTATATATTATATCTTTTATATGTTATATTATATCTTATATATTAAATATTATATTTTATATATTATATTATATATTTTTTTCACTCCCAGCCCACTGAAGCGTCTCGCTGCGGCCAAGCTCCTGAATTCACGCTCCCTTGAGCGCCCACCCGATCAGGAAAAAGCATAATCGGCACCAATTTCATCACCATATGAAGTCATCACCATGTCATGGCACCTATCAAGAAATTCCTTCATCGGGTCTTTGGCCTGAGAAGCGACCGGTGTCTGGTCAAAAGCTTCCATCAGGGCCACAGCCATGCACCTACAGAGCGCAGGAGGATACTCCTTCAAGGCGGTCGTGCGCCAAACTCCAGTTTCAGTACGCCCTATCGCAACTGAAGTTGGCAGCTCTTTACAGATCCTACCTTGGTGCAGATGAAAAAGCATACGTGGCAAATTGACAGTGAGTAAGTTGGTCGGTTTGGGAGTCTTAGCTCCTAAAAGACCCTGTGCAAATCTTACACACTGTACCTGGGGAAAGGCCATCAGAGCTCTCACTAGCGCGGTGCGCCAAATCGATGCCGCCTCCTCCTTGGTCGGCTCCGCCGGGTGCTCCATGATGGCAAAACCCTCAACCTCGATCAAGGCAATGATGCAAAGGATGGAAAAGAAGAGCAGGTCATTCCCTACACAGAGCTGACGCAGCTCTTTCAGGGAGACACTGTCCATTCCCCAAAGTTCAAGGATTGTTCTGATGATCCGAGGGCCATGTTTCGGTGCAGGGGTCGCCGCAATGTCAGCCTCCTCATGTCCAAGCTGCTGGCCCCTGGCTTGAGACCAGGTTTCGCATGGCGGTCCCCCGATGAAGGCGATCACATGTCGCAGCTGGATCGCCCTCCACCAGAATTCACATGTGGTAGGACATGTTGCGTCTCCCCATTCTTTGTTGACGATCACGTCCATCGATACAACGTGCAGAATATACTTGTCCTGCTTCTCGGCGAGCAGGTCCATGAAAAACTGCACATCCCCTCGGCGTCTGCGACCTGAAAACGCATGTAGGACAACTCGATGTCGCCCGAATTCACGAGGGACTTGGACAACTCGATCAGGGTTGCGTTCAGTGAAATCCTCTAACAATCTGCACTCTTCCTCCAGAAACTGCAGACTGGGTAGAGGCGCTTCTTGTGTCTGGCTGTACTTCAAAAAGGGCCATGAAACCGGGTTTCTCAGCTCCAGAAGGACAGCTCGCAATTGGCTCAAGTCATAACCAAAGAAGTCCGCATCCTGCTGTTCAAAGTGGTCCAAGACATACTGGATGGTGCCCGTGAAACGTGTCCAAGACAAGGCAAGGCCCCGCACATGGTCACGGATCCTCGAGGACAATTCTTCCAGGGTGCTGTGCTCTTCCAGCGCGGCCACAACGAAATCATGTACTCCTTCGTCAATATCCAGGAAATGTCTCTGTAAACCAGACTCCACTTTTGGACCTTGTCCTTGGAGAGGTGGAAGAAGGCGGTCATGATCTGCAGCACGCTCACAATCTTCACGCGACCCTGCTCCTGGTACTAGTCCACATTGAATACCACAAGAGCGCAGTTGATCTCGACATGCTGCACTGTAGTACAAATGTGCCTTCATCTTGCGCATGGTGTGATAATGGCGCAGACATGCTGGGCAGGTCGGCTCATCAAAAAGCGGTCTCAGGGTGGATGGCTGTCCATGCACCTTGTACATGTGCGCAGCTTCCCCTGCTTTGTTGACACAGTGAAGGCCACATCCCAAGCATCCAAAAGCCTCCGTCTCCACCTCCTCAATCTCGTGAGACTTCTGCAAGCTTGGTGCCTCAATCAGCATCCTGCGCAAACGTTCCAGGGCGCTCTTGTGCGTCAATCTCACTCTATATTGTCGGGATTGTTGAAGAACTGCATGTTGGATTGCTCTCTTGATGAGACGTTTCCAATACCCTGGACTATGGAGAACCAAGTTTCGCCAATATCCAAAGTTTTCTCTGGGATCAGGTAGCCCGGAGGAGTTGCGCAATTGCATCCACATCCATAAGATATCCTGTTCCAGCAGTCCCATCCATTCAGTGTCTCTGGCTAGCAGAGCCCAGATGTCAGCTTGTCTCATTTGTACCAGCGTGCAAAAATATCGAAGACGTGCACGACGTAAGAGATCTGTTGGGCATGGCATACGGAGCTGGTCAAGCACTTCCTTATCCGAGAGGTGCCATGAAGCTTGCCGTTGCAAGAGTCTCCGGTACAGTTTGAAGATGGAGGCCTGGAAACGCGTCATGGTGCGAGTGTCCATGGCAATCCAGGTGTCTGCTCCATACAGAAACTTGCTGAGCACCAGCATCTCGAACAGTTCACAACGTTTTTTGATGTCAATCTTGATGTTTTGGAATACGACTTTGCGGTTCTGGTTGAAAGCCTGGTGGGCTATACCTGTACGCCGTTTGATCTCTGCATGTTGGTCACCCGTGTGGTGCAATATACCGCCCAAATGGCGATAGGCAGAGACCAGTTGTACTTGATGAAGACCATGTTCGCCCAAGACTGGCAAAGTGCCAGAGGAGTGTGGACCATAATAGTCCACCTTCGCCTTTCTGGACCCCGGTCCACGGAACATCATCATGATCTCTGTTTTTCCTTTGGCCAAGTTCGGTGTCATGCAGTGATATTGACACAGGTCAATGAGCTTGCTCGTGACATGTCCTGTCATGGACACCAGGCTAGTGGGCAGGTCAGATTGGAGGCACACCGCCAAATCATCCATCCACGTCGGGCCTAGGAAAGGCGCCCAGAGGCCATCGTTGCATGCTTGGCCAAACAAAGGAAGGTCTGTTTGCCCTTCGAAGTGGACCAATGCATGGGTCTCCTGCATG